TTCTCAAGCACAATTTTCCGTGTTAGTTTCTTATCAGATTTATTTTTAAATATAATAGTTCTTGGTGAACCAAAGCTGACTGAAGCAATAATACCTTGAGGAACAAGTCCTTTTTCACTATCCGAATGTTCACCGATATAATCATTACCACTTTGATACCAATTTAATAGAACAAAATTAAACTTGGCATTTAAGATAGTTTCAATTTTTTCTTTAATAATTTTTATAGAATGTGGATAATCAATCGAATCAACTTTTGCGCTAGTTCCGGAATAATTATAAACCTTATCGGCTGTTGAACCAAAAGAACAAGTGAGTCGGTGAGCAGGTGAAGTGTGTCCATGTACTTTAAAGATTGGGCGTGACCAATAAGAAAGAGATGCCAGAGCAGAATAATAACTCGTGCAATCTTGTAAGGAAAAAATGGGTGAATAATAATACACTTGGGCTTGAGGCATCTCTAATTCAATAAATGATGGTTCGGTTTTTGGTGATTCACTACATGGTGCATTAAGAGGTTTTGCCTTCTTCCTTACGATATCTGTGTCCTGTACTGATTCAGGCTCCTCTGATTGAGAGATCTGTGCTTTTCGTTTCATATCGTGAGAAATACGTATCTGCTAAACCAAATACTTTACTAATGTCAAATATAAATCGGTTTAAAACTGCTATAGTTCCGGTGCCAAATTTAAAATTCATATTGATATTGTATGACATAACCACAAATTTAAAAGCTAACGATAATCAACGTACAAAATGCCCAAAATCACGAGGATAAATCATCCAATCAGATATATGAATTCGGATACACTCTTTCACTTGGCATATAACCATACACTTCGCTTCACTCCGTTCCTGGTATAATTAGGTTAACATAGCAAATCATTACAAGCGATCTAATTATGATAAGTGGCTGTTACATTTTTAAAGCATAAGACAGAATTGGATGGTATTAATCGATTTTAACCGCATAGAAAAATTATACGTATAACCAAATCTGGTTAAGCCACTTACGATTTTAGAAAACATGCAGAACTTGATGAAAACTAAAATATACAAATAATAGATTAAAAATAAGAATAGAAAACTTACATATTGAAGTAAATAATTTAAGAAGTATGAAGATAAAATATAAAAATCTAAAAATTGAAACTGAATGATTACAGGATTACAAAGATCAAATAAAATGTTAAAAATATAGGGGTGAGTCAATAGAAATGCACCAAATCTTTTTTAGTGAAATATTTTTGCAACTTTAAACAAAGGTAACTTGACAAGAAGTTATTCAAATTTAATAAAAATTTTTTTAACCAAATTTTATAAGAATTTAGAATTAATTTTAAAAAAATTTTTTTAACCAAATTTTATAAGAATTTAGAATTAATTTTAAAAAAAATTTATTAAATATGGTTAAGTTCTTGCTAAGTTATTTGGGTTTAAAGTTTCAAAAAAATTTATTTAACCAAAATTTGGTGTATTTCTATTGACTTACTCTCATATGTTTATGATTTATTTTTATTATAGTTTTTGTATTTTTTTTTAAAATTTATTATTGGTTTCTTTTACTTTTGTAAATCATGAGATTATTTGTTATAAATAATTAAATCAAAACTAGTATTGTATTTTATCATGCAAGGTATTCAAGTATTTTACATTTCATATATTGATATATATCTTGGATATATTGTATGGCATAGGGTATATTACATAAGAGGTCTTATATAAAGAGGATATATTAAGTGAAAATAATTGTCTTGTAAAATATCTGGATTTTTTATATTTTACAAAGATACTTTAACATAATTTATAAGCTAAAAAATTTTAATACTATATAATACTTTTAAATTTTATAAACAATAAAGTATATATATGCACATGAATAATTTCAAAAGAATAAAATAATATTTGAAAATTAAATTAATTAATTTTTTTTTTGAAGTAGTTTTACTTTTTTTTAAAAAAATAGTTTTATTTTTTTATTTTTTTTATTTTTTTAAGCAGTTTCAATTTTTTTTGAAGCAGTTTCTCTATTTTTTTTTTTTAAAGCAATTATTTTTTTTTAATATATGTACTGTACTTAAGTTCTAAAAATGTTTTTTTTATAAAAAAAAACTTTTTTTTACTGATAAAAAAAAATTTTTTAAAAAATTTTAAGAAAAAGAAACTTTTAGAAAGAAAGATTTAAAAAAAAAACTTTTTAAAAAATTTTGATTATAATGTTTTTAGAAAATATTTTAGCAACAAGATTTTACTAGTACAAAAATTATTAATGGATTGCCTAGAAAAAGTTTTTTTATTATTACTTATCTAAAAAAAGGGTTTATCTATAGAATAAGGTGTACTAATATACTTGATAGTCACATTGATTATCATATTGCACAAAATGTAACTATTGATTGTCAATGTATTTTATTTACATTAATGTTATACGATGGATTTGTGTATTGAATTTAAGAATACAATTACAAAGAAAAGATAAACGTCTGTTGGTTCTTTGTAGTTATAAG